TACTGTTATAAATGAGCTTCGAGTGTTCTTCGATGACTTGCACTCAGACACGGTTCTAAGACCAAATTTTTCGCAGGGCCAAAAGTACATTTATGTGTAGGCCATCATAACCGCGAATAAGATTCACCTCCCCGAATATTTCCTTAGTAAAATATTTATGTTTACGTTTATGTCACCTCCTCAAACACTTAATACGCAGTATCAGAAGTAGACACATAATTTAATTTTTCAATAGGAAATCCAGAAATGTTGGCACGTAGGTATATACAGCTGCCCACCTTGTCGTGCGCAAGAATCACCTCATCAAAATGTCGGCTAATGTTTATATTACCTATATTGATTGTATGCGCGTTATTGTAGTGGATTCAAAACACCACGAAGAACAACCACGCTATACGCGTCACACCGAAGGTGATAATAATATACTCGGCTCATCATTCGATATTTATATCAACTCAAAATTGACTTAAGTCCCACGAAGTACAGTGAGTTATTTTGTACAGTCTTATGAAAAGTAAATTTTGCTACAACGAGCATACTTTATGGTACTAGACTATTCTGACTATTATAAACATAAATCACAAAACTATGCGAGATCGTTCTCTTATGATGTGGCATTGCACTGTATATTGTGTATTGAGAAGTTTCTCAATGCAAACATATATATATATATATACATATTTTGTCGTTATCGTTGGGTTAGCTTTAAGTAAACGTATTTTGTGTGAGCTAATGCTGCATTGACGCTATATATATTAGTCTTATACTCTTATGTAAAGTAAAAAGTGGATTTAAAGAACTTTCTTCAAGATCAATAGGAATAATTTATACAAACTTACTTTCCTATAAAAAAAAATTCAGGTCAATTTCAAACATAATTTAACTTGCGGTAGGTAGTTTAATTTGATTTGAAAACAGACATTTAAATTCTTCTTCTTATTTTTAACAACTAGTAACTACATATTATTATTGTATGCTTATTTAAATATTCAAGTTTAATATACTTGAATTTAAATAAGAAATTAAAAATCTAACATTTCTATTTCACTTTTAATATTTTTTTAATTATACATGCTCTTCAATTAAATGTACAACATAAGTAGCCTAAATAGAATTTGAAAAGGTAGAAGGTATGATAAACAAAGTAGTTTATGTATTTATGACTCAATTTTTTCAACATATTGGAAATATAAAGAGTCGTAATATGGTCATATATATAAATTAAATATATCTAATAATAATTTATAGAAACTTACAATGTACATACAATTTTTTAATATTTATTTGTTTTTCATTATATTACATTATATTTAATCCAAAAACTAAACTCAGCATTTTAAGCAATAATTAAATTTATTTTATTTTCCACACTCTGCGGTGGAAATAGTCAAGTTAAATATTTTATAATATTCAATTTATGATAAATTATGTTAATCTGTTTAGGGTATTGATAAATCGAAATAAATGATGCATTTAGCTACTATTATAAAACTAATTATATTCAAAACATTTTGTTGAAGATATAAGAAAAAAAAAATTAAATAAATTAGTTTTTAGGACGTATAGAAATTATGCAACAATTGGAACACTCATAAMTTTATACATTGTACAATAAACATGGATTAATATGTTTATGACAGATAACACTGTCTTGTCAGTTACAGAAACATTTATACCTGACATTTCAAGAAAATTCATATTTGATAATATAGAAGAAACCGTCAACGGGTCGTTTTGAAGTAGTCGAGCAATTCGGWTTATTATAAAATAGTGCCTATTCACTAGGTACCCATAACAACACAATTTATTTTAATACTTTAATCAATAACAGAATGACTTTTAAAAATTGACTTCTTGAAAAAGTTTCCAAAATTAAAAATTAAAACTTATTTGTAACTAATAGACAGTGCAAACGTTTTATTAAATTGATATTTGTTGAAGGTGTTTGAATTCTTTAGTACCTATTTGTGAGCAGGTTACAATGAATATAATATTATATAGTTTACTTTGGAAAAACAATGCAAATAGCATTWACACGGCACCCCTAATTTTAACAATAGTTGAAAAGTTATAATTTCACGCAATAGCTATTTGTTTGTAATGAAATGACGTTGAAAACTTCATTCCATTCAAATGAATTATAATTACAGAATGAGTGGTTTCCATATTATTATAATCTCTACGCCAAACAGTATGGTTTTTGCTTTATCATCAAAAACAAATGCGAACTTTGAAAGTCAATAATTTAGACATGTAYTACGTGGTTCACTGATTATAGAAATCATTTCCATAATTAATAATTAGAAAACTTATTTAATTTAATATTAAAATAAAATTTTGTTTTTTTAAAACATGTATTTCAATATAGGTAATAGCATTTTTATAACCACAATCGAAATATTGTATAGAAGAAGAAAGAATCTTATGTTAATTAAATTATTATCAAAATGTAAAACTGTATTTATATAACTAATCAAAGCTTTTAATTAGCAGATACTATTATCATCTATGGGGTATTTCCATAAAATAAAATATAATAGATAGGTAATGAAATAAAAAGCTATAAAAGCTAAAAAAAATATAGGTAATGAAATCAACTTGAAATAGGTAGGTTAGGTTATACATAGAAAAATTAAAACTATCATATCTAATTGCCTTTTGGCGAACACATTACTAAAACTTATTATTGMATTTTCATAAAATGATTACAAAATAAAATATGAGAAATAATATAATATAATTAGGTAATTATAATTGTTAACTGGTATTTACGATAATATCGCTAACGTATATACCTACGTAATGACTATCATAGAACACTAAAATTTAGAATACTCAATTACATTTTAAATCTATAATAATTAAATAATCTGATTAAAACACAACTATAGGAATTATTAGGAAAAAGATTTTGGTACTTTTTCAAAGCATTTAAAATGTAAGTCGATTGTATTATTTGTATTTGTTACATGTTTATCTATCTATATGTTTTGTACATTTTCTAAATATGACCTCAGAATCAGATTATTACTAAAATCATATTATATGATTGGTTGAGACATTGAACAGAAGTTAACTAAATAACATTTATGATTTTAGATTAACTACATATCTTATTTATTTATTAATAATTTGTATGTAATTTATTTTGGTCGAATGCATTAAATTTCTGTTTTGGATTATAGGAAATAATTATGATGAATAAAATACGAGAGAAAATACCTATAAATTGGAATCGAGAAAAATATTATATGACAAAGAAACCATGGTACATAAAATGTCTGACTCTCAGTTGACGTTTTATTTCTTCGATTAAATGTTAYATACCTAGTGCACATATTCAGAAATGTCATTTCTTTGTAGGTWATAAAAAAAAAAAATGTATAAACTTGATGTGGACGTTTTTGTATGCTTTTCATTCGAAATAAATATTGCATTTATTTAAATCATAAGTATAATTAATTTTATTAGAATTTTAAATATGAGTAAAAAAAAACCTTCACCATAACTTTACGTTCCGTGCAGTAGTACCTATGTATCCCCCTATACGTATTTTGTCGTTTAGTGTCATCATTCCCTTCACTCCCTTCTAAAAAGCGATGACGTCATTTTAACAGTCCCTTTTTATATAACTATAGGGTGATGCTCTTGATGTTCGAGCGTTTGTGGTGTTGCCAATGGCGACTTTGATAATACAGACACAGGTCACTGTCCCCGTTCGTTTTCTCCTCGCAATGTTTAGGTTCCACTGCGTTTCTGATGTATATATTTTTATTTTTCTCATTTAAAAAATGTTTATGCAAAACGACTTGGACATTAGCGTTATCATGGTGAAATTGAACAGAATATTAATAGCGTAATAGGTATATTTTCTTATCAACGAGCGTTATTGTGGTTTAAGAACATAATAATAATTAATGTCTCTCAACTGTTTTTTTGATTTACTATGATTTTCAAAATGTCTACAATTCTACATAGCTTGACTCAAGGTTCAAAGAATTGAGTGTACTTAAACAATTATACAGGACACTAATTATTGAGGTACAATCAATTGTATGTATGGTTCGACCACGGCTTTTAATTTTCATACACGCTTGACGCTTTCATATTATAATAYGGGCATAACAACTAGTATATTCAAAAATATGTACAATGAGGGAATTGTGAATGTCATACACATATAATATTTAATATTATATACATATATGAATAATAATAATCATTTAACTATTATTCGTCACCTACAGTGGTGGTCTAACGGTGGGAGGGAATGAGGGGGATATATCTCCCATGATCTTTTATTCAATGATGGACAATAATCGATAACCATAAATTAAGTTTTTAATAATTAAATAGCGCCTATTAAAAATCAGCCATATCGCTCCTCATTCATCCCATGACAAACTAATTTGACCACCATTGGTCGTCATTCAAGATATAGTTAATATAATGTACAGCGCCTTCCAAATTGAGTGGGACAAAATGGTCGGAATAATGTTTTTTTTCTGAAATTCTCATTATTTTTGTCACATGAAATTTTGAAGGTTATATTCATTTATATTACGTATTAYATAATGTGTCTTATGTAGGTATAATAAAGCTGAATGCTGATTACTGTTGAAAAACTTCGAGAGTTATGAAATAATGGAATGCATTGAGTATTATAAACACGAGTATACGCAACCTAATCAAATAACTTTCAGTCTGATTTAATTAGAAATTGTATTGAAAACTATTTTGATTAGATGATTAATAATTATTATTTGTATCGAACAAAACTGAGTAAAATTCATATCAAATTAAATTGAATTATTTTAAAATAATTTTTATTGGTCTGATTAATATTTATGAGTGTGATAAATACGATTTTTAATTGAACCGGATTATTATTTTCTACATTCATTGACTTTTATTAAAACATAGGTAGGTATATAATGATAACTGGGTGTATGATTAAATAATATGTCTAACTAATAATATTAAAATAAAACGTAACTTACCTTCTAAGTCTTGACCAAGGTTAGAAGAAGAATCATCTGAAAGTTTAAAACTATAAGCTATTTTCTTTTCATTTAAACAAATTATATAAAATACACAATGTAATATAAATACTTATAACAATATTTAAGCGATAGTGTGAGTAAGATACTATTATATTATAATATTATAAAAAAGCGATTTATGTAAAATAAACATAGTTTTAAAAGCAAATAAAAACACTTAAATGTGTTATAATGCAATTATTTATGTGAAATAAAAAAAAGCCAAAACAGATAAAGCAAAATAGAATTGAATAAAAATAGGTGATAGATTAGAAKATTGAGAATAAAAAGTAATTTGTACATTTTCCGATCGGTGTGAAAAAAACACGTTTCTTTTTGTCGTATAGTTATTGAAAAATATATTATTTGATATCAATTGAATTAAGTTATGGCTTATGATACATTGTTTAAAGATTTAAAATTCATAAAATCATAGGTAGTTGGTACAAAAAAAGAGAATAGGTGATAAAATATAATAAGATTTTCAGCCCATTTAATAAAATGTGCCCTTTTGTTCATAATTTAATTTATTGATTATACCTAAGGTACGATGTTAAAGTATATATAATTTACGTTAGTTTTTTAAATTTCATATTAATTATTTGAACTTTGAACTTGCTTCGAATATGATGATATTCTAATATTTATAGTAAAAATGTTGTTTAGTTCTATAGTTAATTTTTTTTTACTTATTTTAAAATTATAAAAACATAGTAGACAGCGTAGATTTTTATGGTTGGATAAATATTAACAAGTTTAATTAGATGAAATATTTACTTATATGTTAAAAAAAATTGAAATAACCTTATTAGTTGATGTAACTATATTACACTCGTATTTGCCGATTTTTTCTTAACACAAAATATTATTGTCCCGTTTTCTTTTTCTTCTTATTTTTGAGTATAAAAAAATAAAACTGTCCATTATTTTTTCAATATTTATGAAAAATATAAGTGAATTTCTTATATCATATAAGTTATATGCTTTAGATATGGTTATTTTGTTTACGTAGTATTCTCATAGTGGCATAGTATACAGAATGTACTTATAAATATTATGTTAAATCGAAAAGTGTGATAAGTTTTAAGGTGATAAGTTGTTTTACAAATCTGGAATTAAAAATACATATTGCTAATAATAAATATACTTATAGTAATAATAATGGTTAAAATTAATCATCGGATCGGACTATGATTAAATTTCCATAATCCGAGCAAGCTTATATTCAATTGGTATCTATTAAATTATTATAATATTGTGTATATGTGTATAGGTAAATGAACCACAATAAACATAACATTAAATAAGCTAAATTAAACATTTTTRCTGTAAGATAAATAAAGATGTATAAATTCATAATTTTTAGGCATGCGAATAATTCTACTGTCATAATTTCTGCTAATTATCATCGATGATACATCATTCCTTAATATAAAGCAAAACTATTATTCACGGATATTTTATACCAAAGTGATAAACGCATTTTTGTTGATGGAACATATTTCATTACGTGGTCAATACCTTTAGTAAATAATAATCGGAATTATGATCATTCTTATGTTAACCATATTATGAAGTTAGATTTTTATAGTCATTTTGCTAGTTGATAACTAACATACATCGAACAATAATTTATTATTTCATTGACGGGTGAAACGAATCTAAAATATTTTAATACAAGTATTTGTATGTCCATATATTATAATAAGGTTAGTRCACTAATGATTRTATATAATATTGTGTGCACATTATAATATCTCATAAATAAATATTCATAATATTCGATTCGCTATGGGTACCTCACTTTTAAAAATTAATTAATAATTTTACTGGGAAAAAAATATAAAACAAAAACATTTATGATAMAGTATAAATAAAGATTTCTTATAACATTTTATTTTTATGATGCGTTTTATATTAGGTGTGTTAAATGCGTTATTTATTGAAATATTATCTAAACGGATCGCGAGGGTTTCACTTATATAATTATAATGTAACTCGCATAATATGATAAAATGAAAATTTAGGTACTCTATCTCTGCGCGATCGTTAAACCACGTGAATATATACACATTAGAAATCCTGAAAACTAGACGACCACGATCGTCCCCGTTAATAATGATATGACCATAATATTATTCGTATAACGACGTGACGCTTCTCGTGAATCGTGATGGTACCTCATTCGTCCACCGTGAAATGTGACCCGCCTCGACAAAATATTGTATTATCATTATTATTATTACTGTTATTATTGTTATTGTCACGATGACGCGGGCTTGCAGCCCGGCGCACGGAGCAAGGTGTACACGGTGGAATATTATAATATAATATTAATATCCTTCACAGCGCACCTGTCTTGGCGGGTAGGGTACGAAACGCGAGCAAGCACAATGGTGTTGTGGGTGTGTGTGTAAAAGAGAGAGAGTGGGAGAGAGAGTGAGAGGGAGTGAGATAGACCGAGAGGCGCCCCGGTGTGTAACGGATATACGGGAACCGCGACGATATTTTTGTTTTTGTGTTAAATATCTTCCGGTCACGTTATAGTAACACGTCTGTATACATCACGTCGACGTGTATTTAGTGTCACCCGTGTGAGTTCCGGACGTCGTCGGCGGCATCGTCGTCGCTGAAATAACTGCCTCTAGGTTCGTAGCGCTTTTTACTTTCGGGTTTCGTCGTCGACGGTCCCGCCCCGAAATATTATATGCGTTTTACGAACACGATCGTATACACT